TCTCTCAGAATCCCTGTAAACCTGCCAAACCGCAGCCTTTACCAGGGGGCCCGCTCGGTTTAACCAAAAACGTGTTTCGCATTTGTTCCTGGCATCGCATCACACAATCGCTATATTAAGAGTGCATTCTTTTCTTCTCTGCTATATTTTAATGTGTGGTCACTTCTCTATAATTCGTAAAGAAAACATATAATCGGGTGAGTTATTTTCCTTGGAGTTGACACGAACGGGTCATACTAGGGCGTTGTATAAAATATGACAATTCAACAAGTTCCGGTGTTGGTTGGACCATTTTCAGTATACTTGTTGCCACTTCCGTTTACTCTCTGAATATTAAACATAATAATAAAACACATTACCGTACAATGGTATTGTCTCATAATTATGCGAATATAAAATAACAACGATGATATGGAAAATTAAAAAATCTTAGATCTTAAATAAATGTAAAAAAAAGGTACACGTTTAATTCTGGACTTACATTCCAATATTTTTTTTTCTGTTTATCAAAAACAGGGGGGGGGGGTTAATTTTTGTATTCCAAAATATATATTTATATTCAGTGCTTATAATTCTGTTCAGTATATATTGGTATTTTATAAATGTAAATACATGTTCAATAAATTGTAAAACATATTCAATGATTTGAGATATGTGATCAATAGTTTGTTTTAATCAGGTGCTGACTATGGCCACGATGGCTTTGTTGTAGTTAGTTATCGAACCAAGTGTTGTGAAATCATTAGTCCAAAACTTTTATATATATTTTACAGTTGATCTCAGGGTTAATAAATTGCGTCCTGATTGATATTTCACTGTCTGGCCTGTGTTGGTGATTATAATGTAATACAGTGATACAATGATAGGCGCTTTATCATCCTCTTGTAATGATACATCACACAACACAGGGGCCGAGCTGTGGAGGCGATAGATATCAATCGAGTGCGACGGAAGTGAGAAAAGACACACTAAAGTCTCACTTTTTATCAGACAATACGAGATTGTACACCTTTTGAACTCTGCCTCGTACCATTTCTTATCGGCCATGTTATAGACAATTAACAATTAATTACCGACATTCGTAATTGAAGTTACAACTATCCAATTAGGGAATTAATTACAAGAGATCATCGAGCTTTAGATCAGCAAGATAAAGGGCTCGTAAAGGGCCTATAAACCACCCCTTATCCCCTCCCGTCTCTGGCAGTGATTAGGGTGCCCATTGAAACAGGATAAGGACGTGTATTTGACAGTCAGTAGCGACAAATGACGGCTATTTGAACGTTCCGGAGATTAGTGTTGACTCCGGTCACGCGCCGCCCCTTATTCAATCGTATATGGAGTGGGTAACAGTCCTTGCCTGTCAAATACACGGGTCGCTGCCTTTATTTTTGAGCATATTGCGACGATTGTTGTAGAATCCTGATTTATTGACAGAGAAAATATCAGAGTGTATATATAGCCCTCGCGAGTCATTCCGACCCTCTGATAAGCGGGGGTTTATGAAGGACACAATGGGATGAGACATAGAGGTCGCAACATGTAACCACTGAGCCGTGACCCCGCGGGTACCGTAACATTTATATCTAGTTCTCCTCCTACACGGGAACTTGATCCCGTCACCTACTAAATTAATCGCGAGGCTTCATTGGGGGAGACGGCGCGATGTTTATTTTCCAATAATAAAAAGTAGAAAGTTAACTAACTTCTTTTAATCACTCTTGTTGGTAGGAAGCAGGATTTTAATAGGAGAGGAAACCCAGGACGTGGTCAGACAGGTGACCCATACCTTTTCACGTTCCGTCAGTTAATCGGACCCATGCCGACAGGCGAGTGCACTAGCCAATACGCCATTCGGCCACACTTAAGTTTAATTATTTCGTCACGAGTTTGGCAGCATTTGATTTCATATTTTCAGATGGTGGGCTATTCAAATCACCCTTCGTCCGTGGTCCGTGGTCCGTCCGTTGTCCGTCCTTTAACAATTCTTGAAGAAGTACCAGAGGGATCTTTCTCAAATTTTATATGTAGGTTCCCCTTGGTCCTTAGCTGTGCGGGACAACTTTTGAGACTGATCGGATAAACAACATGGCCGACAGGCAGCCATCTTGGATTTTGATAGTGTAGGTTTGTTAACGGTATTTCTCGGGAAGTACGGGAGGGATCTTTCTCAAATTGTATATGTAGGTTCCCATTGATCCCTCGTTGTGCATGTTATATTTTGAGACTGATCATAAAGACAAAATGGATTAAAAGAAGAACTAAACAGATCTTTCTCATATTGCAATGATCGATTCTATTTCTTTCACATTAAGTACTGTACTAGTAAATATGTGAAATGACAAACTCACTTTGAAGGTTGGCTATCATACACATCAGTATTAAATTTAGATTAAAAGTTACCAGGGGCGTTTCTAGAATATTTGAAAGAGGGGGCGTAGAATCAATTTTTTTCGCCGAGCGGAGCGAGGCAAAAAATAATTGGGACCTTTTTTTGGCTAAAAAACATAAAATAATTGTGAAATGCACTAATGTAACGGTTCCTGACTTGGAACATGTATATTTTATAGTTAAAGTCCATTACGCCCTCACCTGGACCCGCCCCTGGTTACCTCAAGGTGCATTTACTGTTAACATGACTCGATCAAACAGATTAGAGGAAAGAAGAGAAAAGATTGAACTGACAAAGAACTAATGAAGATGGTACAAAGGTGGGCGCCAAGATCCCTCTGGGATCTCTTGTTTATGCAAACGAAGGAAGTGACAGTATGTCATCTTTGTTGATCCAGTCTGTTTCAAAATGAGGTGCGCTCTGCCAGAGCCTCGCCAGTTTTTGTGACAAGGAACAGATCTACCGCATCACAAAGTTTACTTGTCATTGTTGTATTACCAAGCTCATTATAGAGTTCTGAAAGTTCAATTTGAAAACTACTAGAAGTCACTTTTTTTTAAATGTAACAAGTACTTAACTAGTTATGCTCTCGTACAGACGATGTTTATGTTGAATCTATTTTATTTTAGTAGTTTGTATCTCGTATAGCGTATGTATACATTTGTGGTGAACAATGAACAAACTAACCAGAGGTGTGTCATCTCGACCCAGCGGTCCCGAAATCTGTCGGGAGACAATGCAACTTGGTTCCGGGCCAACAGCGGGGTTGTTGTTTGACAAAAACATATGTTTTGATCTTATCCTTACCTTAGTCATCCTTAGATGTGTATTGGTATACGTCTATATGTGTATATCCCTTAACAATGCACCTGTCGTCATAATTGACGTGTAGTCACCCCACCCCCACCTCTACCCCCACCTCTANAAAACAATAGCGTGTTCGTCCGTTCTGTCTGTCCGGGTTTGACAAAGTTGGACACGGTATACTCATACTAAAATGTTGGCTGTCGATGTGATGAAGACCGCGTGCTGATTTACGGGATAAGAACAAGAAAACCTATCTGGTATCTGTGATAGCTGTCACACTCAGTCAAACTCCTCATTCCTGATCCACGTGATTGTCCTGTCACGTCCAAGAGGCGTGCTAGGATGATATAAACAGTGCGGTACTTCTGGAGTAGGTTTCCATCGTGTATCTTGTCATGTTAGACTAGGAGGGTTATGTGAAGACTTGTCATATTATCTGGTAGATTCTCTGTCTAATTATCGTCTGTCAATGTTGTTAACGTTACGGTCCTGACACAGGGTCATTTACCTCGGAAGTGGCTACAGCGCCTGGGGAAAATGGGTAAGATCGGGGACGTCTGATTTTCAGTATATAAATAATAACTGCAAATTTTGTCAATAAGCAAATAATGTATACTATAAATCATACGATCTTTACAACGTGATTTCGTTGTCACCCCTTCTCATATTGGACTGGCAGCGGAAGAAGGTTACGGAAGTTGTAATCGAACGCACCGATAGCGGCGAAGAGCAACACCGAGAGTATACAAGAATAAATAATAGTTCATATATGTATGAGACACCGGCATCAAAATTCATTCTAAGTCGGATGTAAAACGTGTTTCCACTAGGTTACTAAGCCTCGCAAGCCTCACGTGCTTATTTTATGTTTCGAATTTCTAAAATATATCACAGATTTCACAGATATTAAAGATATTAAAGAGATAATGACAACGTAACCACCATATATACATGTACAAGTTAACTATTTACGGTTTCAACACGGAATTGTATCGAATGGTCCGTTATGGACATCGACGTACTTTATTTTAAGTTAAATCAGAATCAGCTACGATTGGCAAGTGTACAAATAGGTATCCTGACATTTGTCAGTTGTCTACGTCAACACAAAAAATGCATTGTTACCCTGGTTACTGTTTCAATAACTGTACCCATATCTAATCTGGCTCAATGATGTGACGATGCCGACGGCAATGGGATATAGAAAGAAGTGCAAACAAAACATTCCAAAATGTCACGAAATGCGCGAGTCTTCTTTTAAAGGGAATAAAGGTCTTAAAAGATATGTTAAAATGTCTTTCGTACGGTTATAAATTGATATTTTTAATCAATCAGCGAGTGTCAAACCGCACGAGTCTCCATCGTCAAATGACAGGGGAAGAAGCATCTCAATCGACAGATAACCGGCGCGCACGTGTGTTGAGGTATGACGTCATTGACAGAGGCTGCGAAAATGACCACGAGAGCTCATTAATCACAAAGGTCGTCAAAATCATATGAGGACCCCAATACTCATTAGCGTCCAAACGATACCTGTCATACAGCTATTTGTAAGTCATGTGCTGCCTAATAAGTGCACGACGTTTTGGATCGTGTGTGGACCTAAGGTCCACGATGGGACAAACCCGAGTTTAAATGTTTCCTTTGTTGACATGATAATTAAATAATCAGCCATGAAGTTATGAAATAAACAATCTGGACCCTGCAGAATACAGGTATTTATGAGATCGATATTGTCCCTCTTGGTCCCCATTACGTCCGAGATTTCCCTTCTGGTCCTCAGTAGGGTTGGCAATCCGACATGCTACAGCTGTTTAAGTTTGTACAAGATGGCGAAATTGTAAAGGCCTGCCACACAATTGTCTGGGTTGTGTGTTCGCGAGATGTAACGGATTGCATTAATGTTCACCATAAAGTCGGAAATAATGAAAGTAGAGCGAGCGTTCTCGCGCCAACACGGACTTCCCAGCATGCACGGAATCCGCGTATATCAATAATACATATAACTGGAGAACGGTGATCTACAGTTCCGGACGGGTCGTCTGCAAGCTCGCGCTACCATCCGGGCTCTTGTCCTGATCGATATGTTGTGTCTAGTGTGATCGGTTCCCAATGGTGATGAGACTATTTTTATGCTGTGTCATTTCCTTTTTTATAAAGTCTACAGAACCCCGTCCCCCTACATCGTCCCAAATGTCGTGCGCGATCCGACAAGACACTAATTGTCCATTTCATGATTTAGCGTATGAATAGATACACAAAACGCATTGATTGACCTAATGAATCACGGCCGCAGTGAAATGACGATTGTGCTTTAAAATTAAGTCAGTAAAGTTATGGTTACCTGATCAAGAGGATGTACAAAGGGACGAGTGCCTTAAACGACCATAAAGTTGTGACGGGTAGGGCGGCGGAAGTAAACGCAATGACGGACGCACCAGACTGGAGAGACACAAAACAGGTCACGTTGTGTAACCATTATATCCGGACCGGCACGGCCAAGTCTGGTTAACTTTTTTACAGAGAGTCCTCATGTTTAATAAACATTTAAAAATTCATACACAAAATCACATGTTAAGGTATTTAATTTGTAATATCAGAAAAGAATATTTGAATGTGAATATATCGAGTAACGGTTCTAAGTGTCAATTGTTCCACTAAAGTTTACCAATCAAAGCTAGCATGTCGTGTATCACACCTGACACACGGCCTTTCATCTCTGGGGAATCATTTATCTGCATGTTCATAATTAGTGAAATAAGTATAACAAAATCACTAAAATCACGTTGCCTTTGTACTGTAGGGACCCCCCTGGCAAATGGGGTCCTACTGATGTATGATGTATGTACAGGCCGGTATGAGAGAATACCTTTGAATGAAAGAAAGTGTTTCGCGTGTAAAAGCGTGGTAGAAACAGAGAGTCATGTTTTAATAGAATGTCTTCTTCTTCTTCTTTAGGTTATTAGTAGTCCTTCAATGATCTGAAGATTATTTACTGTTTTGCGCAGCGTGGCCTATATACATATATATTTACAAGAATACCAAAAATTATGAAAAATGAATTTGGAATGCATACATTTTAAATTGTGATTAAAACTATGTACATAGGCTTGTAAAAATTAAATGAATTTGTGGAGAACAGCTGGTGTGAGCTGTTCTCTGAAAGTGTTGACTGTTGTGACAGTGACTGTATGGATTGGTAATACATTCCATTGAGTTATGGTATAAGGAAAAAATGAAAATGTATATGTTCTTTTTTGGTTGAAATGTGTCTGAAAGTGAAATTATGATTATTTCGGGTTCTACTGTCTGATGGTATGAGAATAGCAGATGGGATTGCTACGATTTGATGGACTATTTTGTAGAACATTATTAATCTTGTGCGTAGTCTTCTTTCTTGTAGTGTGGGCCAGTTTAGTGAATTTATCATATCTGTAGGACTACTGGTGTTATGGTACCTGTTACAGACATATCTGGCAGCTTGTCGTTGGACCATCTCGATTTTAGAAATTTGTTCAACTGTGTGAGGGTCCCATACTGTACATGAATATTCCAGTTTTGGTCGAACTAGCGCCAGATATGCCTGAGTCTTGATGTTCTGACATGATGTTTTTAAATTTCTTTTTAGGAAGCCTAAAGATTTGTTGCCATTAGCTATGATGTTGTCTGTATGTTTTGACCATTTTAAGTTTGCTTGTAGTGTAATGCCCAGATATTTAGCTGAAGAGACCAGTTCAAGTTTGTGATTGTGGAGGATATAGTCATGTTTAAACTATTTTTTTCTTTTGTGAGACTGTAAGGACTGTGCATTTGTCTGGATGGAAAGCCATCAACCATCCCGCTCCCACCTAGCAGCTGCATCTAAATCCAACTGTAGTGCATCACAGTCACTTTGGGATTTGATGGTTTTGTAGATGATACTGCCATCGGCAAACAGTCTGAGCTTACTGGATGATAAGTAGTCTGGTAGATCATTAATGTATACCAATAATAATATTGGGCCCAGAACTGTGCCTTGAGGAACACCTGAGGTGACAGGAGCCAGGTCAGATGTGTTCTGTTACTTAGAAAGGCAGAGACCCAGTTTAGTGTTTCGTTTTGGATACCGTAATAATTTAATTTATAGAGCAAACTTTTATGAGGAACTTTGTCAAATGCTTTGGCAAAATCCATTATAATTAAGTCTGTTTGTGTGTTGCTGTTATTATTTGCTGCGAGGTCTTGAATGAATGAGATGAGTTGCGTTTCACAGGATCTAGACTGACGGAAGCCATGCTGGAGGTCATACAGTATATTGTTCTTTTGTGTGATGTTACTTGAATGATGATCTTCGATCGGGTCTATTGCCTATTGTCTAAATATAAAGGGTCAACACACATCTCAAATAGATGAGCTCTTTCAAACGTAGGAATCAAAGCTCATGTTTGGGAGTGAATACTCTCAAGGGTCAAATAAACCCATGTCCCGGGTTTGAATTCCGGTCTGGCCGTGTAGTTTTTCTCTCCTGTGCCATATATATATAAATTGTTTTTAGTTTCCTGTCTGTAAGCGTAGGAACATTATCGTTAATCTCATTGCCTTTGGTAGACCTGATGTAGCTTAAACCTTCAATGTTATAGTGGTTTTGTTTTTTATATAATTTTAGAAAGTGTAGATTAGTTGTATTAACTATTTTCGCCTATCTGTTGAGATGTACAATTAATCTGATTACAGTTCGGAGACCGCCACTTTTGTTTATGCGAGGGAGGTGGTTGGTTTTGATTTTAAAATTGTACACCTGCGAATATATAATATAAATGAGCATAGCAAACAGTAAAAAATGTCGTTTAAATTTGGTGGTTTGTTTTTCTGCTCTGATGCCGAAATTGCAAATTACAAAAAAATGCTTGTCAAACTGAAGATTTCATCCGATGATAAAATGCCATGTACTGCGAAAGACCTCTGTCAGCACTATCTATTGGAGGACGCTTGCCGTGGAATACACGACCGTTTATACTAGACCGCAGTTTCTGCTCGATCCCAGTGTCTGTCCCAGTCTCAGGAAAAATCCCAGTGTCTGTCCCAGTCTCAGGAAAAATCCCAGTGTCTGTCCCAGTCTCAGGAAAAATCCCAGTGTCTGTCCCAGTCTCAGGAAAAATCCCAGTGTCTGTCCCAGTCTCAAGTAAACTCGCAGTGTCTGACCCAGTCTCAAGTAAACTCGCAGTGTCTGTCCCAGTCTCAAGTATACTCGCAGTGTCTGTCCAAGTCTCAATTAAAATCGCAGTGTATGTCCCAGTCTCAAGTAAACTCGCAGTGTCTGACCCAGTCTCAAGTATACTCGCAGTGTCTGTCCAAGTCTCAAGTAAAATTGCAGTGTCTGTCCAAGTCTCAAGTAAACTCGCAGTGTATGTCCAAGTCTCAAGTAAAATCTCAGTGTCTGTTCCAGTCTCAAGTAAAATCGCAGTGTCTGTCCCAGTCTCAAGTAAAATCGCAGTGTATGTCCCAGTCTCAAGTAAAATCTCAGTGTCTGTCCAAGTCTCAAGTAAACTCGCAGTATCTGTCCAAGTCTCAAGTAAAATCGCAGTGTCTGTCTCAGTCTCAAGTAAACTCGCATTGTCAGTCCCAGTCTCAAATAAACTCGCAGTGTCTGTCCAAGTCTCAAGTAAACTCGCAGTATCTGTCCACGTCTCAAGTAAAATCGCAGTGTCTGACCCAGTCTCAAGTAAAATCGCACTGACTGTCCCAGTCTCAAGTAAGCTCGCAGTGTCTGTCCAAGTCTCAAGTAAATACGAAGTGTATGTCCCAGTCTCAAGTAAAATCGCAGTGTATGTCCCAGTCTCAAGTAAAATCTCAGTTTCTGACCCAGTCTCAAGTAAACTCGCAGTGTCTGACCCAGTCTCAAGTATACTCGCAGTGTCTGTCCAAGTCTCAATTAAAATCGCAGTGTATGTCCCAGTCTCAAGTAAAATCCCAGTGTCTGTCCCAGTCTCAAGTAAACTCGCAGTGTCTGTCCCAGTCTCAAGTATACTCGCAGTATCTGTCCAAGTCTCAATTAAAATCGCAGTGTATGTCCCAGTCTCAAGTAAACTCGCAGTGTCTGTCCAAGTCTCAGGTAAACTCGCAGTGTCTGTCCAAGTCTCAAGTAAACTCGCAGTGTATGTCCAAGTCTCAAGTAAAATCTCAGTGTCTGTCCCAGTCTCAAGTAAACTCGCAGTGTCTGTCCAAGTCTCAAGGAAAATCGCAGTGTCTGTCCAAGTCTCAAGTAAACTCGCAGTGTATGTCCAAGTCTCAAGTAAAATCTCAGTGTCTGTTCCAGTCTCAAGTAAAATCGCAGTGTCTGTCCCAGTCTCAAGTAAACTCGCAGTGTCTGACCCAGTCTCAAGTATACTCGCAGTGTCTGTCCAAGTCTCAAGTAAACTCGCAGTATCTGTCCAAGTGTCAAGTAAAATCGCAGTGTCTGACCCAGTTTCAAGTAAAATCTCAGTGTCTGTCCAAGTTTCAAGTAAAATCTCAGTGTCTGTCCAAGTCTCAAGTAAACTCGCAGTGTCGGTCCAAGTCTCAAGTAAACTCGCAGTGTCGGTCCAAGTCTCAAGTAAACTCGCAGTGTCTGACCCAGTCTCAAGTAAAATAGCAGTGTCTGACCCAGTCTCAAGTAAAATAGCAGTGTCTGACCCAGTCTCAAGTAAAATAGCAGTGTCTGACCCAGTCTCAAGTAAAATAGCAGTGTCTGACCCAGTCTCAAGTAAAATAGCAGTGTCTGACCCAGTCTCAAGTAAAATAGCAGTGTCTGACCCAGTCTCAAGTAAAATAGCAGTGTCTGACCCAGTCTCAAGTAAAATCTCAGTGTCTGTCCAAGTTTCAAGTAAAATCTCAGTGTCTGTCCAAGTCTCAAGTAAACTCGCAGTATCTGTCCAAGTCTCAAGTTAAATCGCAGTGTCTGACCCAGTCTCAAGTAAAATCTCAGTGTCTGTCCAAGTTTCAAGTAAAATCTCAGTGTCTGTCCAAGTTTCAAGTAAAATCTCAGTGTCTGTCCAAGTTTCAAGTAAAATCTCAGTGTCTGTCCAAGTCTCAAGTAAACTCGCAGTATCTGTCCAAGTGTCAAGTAAAATCGCAGTGTCTGACCCAGTTTCAAGTAAAATCTCAGTGTCTGTCCAAGTCTCAAGTAAACTCGCAGTGTCGGTCCAAGTCTCAAGTAAACTCGCAGTGTCTGACCCAGTCTCAAGTATACTCGCAGTGTCTGTCCAAGTCTCAAGTAAAATCGCAGTGTCTGACCCAGTCTCAAGTAAAATCGCACTGACTGTCCCAGTCTCAAGTAAGCTCGCAGTGTCTGTCCAAGTCTCAAGTAAACTCGCAGTATCTGTCCAAGTCTCAAGTAAAATCGCAGTGTCTGACCCAGTCTCAAGTAAAATCTCAGTGTCTGTCCAAGTCTCAAGTAAACTCGCAGTGTCTGTCCAAGTCTCAAGTAAAATCGCAGTGTTTGTCCCAGTCTCAAATAAACTCGCAGTGTCTGTCTTAGTCTCAAGTATACTCGCAGTGTCTGTCCAAGTATCAATTAAAATCGCAGTGTCTGTCCCAGTCTCAAGTAAACTCGCAGTGTCTGTCAATTAAAATCGCCGTGTCTGTCCAAGTCTCAATTAAAATCGCAGTGTCTGTCCAAGTCTCAAGTAAAATCGCAGTGTCTGTCCAAGTCTCAAGTAAAATCGCAGTGTCTGTCCCAGTCTCAAGTAAAACTGCAACACGGATTATTCGAATGGAGAGTTGAAGGTATGTTTTGACGATGACAGAAAGATACCGGCTGGGGTGAACATGTAAGAGAGTTGTTGACAGAGCGGCAGTTGATGTCCTGCGATGACGTTCTCCGTTTCTGTACAGCTGTTATGTATCACATGTTAAATTCATTCACATTGAACAGCTGGTGTCTGCGAGTTTGAAGCATGAAACCGTGCTATCTTGATACTTTTGATAACTAGCAATCATACAATTTGCCAACCTGTTACTTTATTATGTTTTTATTACTACAGCAATAAAATTCAGCAAACATTGTCAACACCTAAAAATTATGATTGCGCTGAAGCTTGTTAAACAAACTGTAATAGCTGTCTGATCATGAAGTACACTAGAAGTAAAACTTCGATATAATGTCACTCCTTCCGGTTTGTCTTCTCACTTACTGACCTGACTTCATGGTCCGCTTTTTCTTTTTTTCTTCTTCCCAATTCCTTTACACACCTTGTTCGATGTTCGAAATATCTCCTAACCTGTTTATAACGCCATAATGTGATGGAAAAAATATAGCGGCAATGTCACAGGGCTGTACAGTATGTCAAGCAGAACTTCCTGTCGAATTACGAATGAGAGGTGTTAAAATCTGAATTGTAATAATTAGAACTGCTTATTGAGGGAACGAAACCCAGCTGATTGATTACATCTGGTTTTATTTAAGTTTCAATCCTTCAAGGGATAATCTTATTACGACAATGGCATAGAGATCACGTAACCGACTGTTCCGTAAGGCCGTGATGTACGCGCCGCGCGGTCCACCGTCTCGGGTGTAATAGCCCGATATTGATAAGGGGAGAAGGCTCATGGATAACTTCACACAATTAGCAGCTACATGTCCACCAAACCAGCTTCAATTTGATTTAAAAGAATGGTAGCAATCCGTTTGTTCAACGGGGAATAATTAAAATAATTACTCTACTTCAAAAGCTCCACTTACACAATGTATTGCGAATGTTAATTATGCAGCTAAAACACAGGTCTTAGCCTTCTCTCTTTGCGAATCGCTCGTAATCAAATTGAAAACAATTACATGAATTATAGCTTATTGGTGAGATCATACGATAAACTCAGCTGGCACAAAAATCTCACCCAATAGCTGGTAAAACAGAATTGACTGCAGAACTGCGGTCGTGGCGTTGTCATCCCGCGGTGAATGGAGTTTGTGCGGTTATTGGTCGTTGCCAATAATAACGTTATCAATCGAAGAAAGAATTAGGCTATTAAGAAGATGTTAAAGGTGTAAACTGAAGGCGCGTCATTAATGGAACAACAAACGAGAGAAGAAAAGCTGTAAATTACACCAAGCGAATAGATCTTGAAAGGTTCAACTGGTGCAATGACGTTCACAACCGGAAGTACAATTCAAAAAGTGGCATGTTGTCGTAACATGAATTGGTGTGTCCCCACTTGACACACATAAATATTCTACCTTATAATTCCTTGTTTCCTCACGTGTTTGAGATAAGAGCTGTATTGTCTGTGGTGCTAGGATAATGACAGGCAGAAGACAAGATGACTTTTCATCAACTCCCCACATTTGTGTCTGTCATTTCGTTATGGCGCCTTTGCTTTACTCACAAGACTACAATCTACTTGCTCACCGGAACTGTCATATCGTGTATAACAAGCGGAGTAGCTAAGAAAAACCATTGGTCCGGATTTGTCGCACGGAGAGCGTGTCCGGTGCGTGGCTCCAAAATTTCTCTGTAGGGTTGTAATCACCATATTTTCTCAGCCGATGTCGATTAAACTCTGTCGGCCACGATGTGTGGTAAGTTTCCGTGATGATAATCTAGCGTCCTTGGAATAATTCTGTCCTACACACGAGGTACGGAGTCTGTCTCCTCTGGTATACGTCACTGATCGGAACGTGCCTGGTGTGTCGAAAGAACAAACATAGCGGGTCGGTCTGCAATGTTTGAATGGTTATTTATAACGTACAATTATAGAAGTGAAATAAAAACAGAGAGCTAAAGCTAATTCTGTTCTGATCAGAGCCAATTATCTGTATTCGATACAGTAGCAATGCCCTTCATTGTAACTACACAGTTTATAGTCTAACACGACTGCTCATGTGAAACAGATCACTGCAAATATCACAATTGTCACCGTAAGTGTTTTCAGAGCAACCTAACGTGTACATCCGCCGTGTGACGTCACAGTTTTTAAATTAAATTTATATATTTTACATTAATTATGAAACAAGTTTTCCAAATTCTATTTAATTAATCACTCTTGTTTGCATGGATGTTTAGCGCGCGGGAATCTTATTGTGGGAGGAAACCGGAGTACCCGGAGAAAACCATGTGAACGGACAGATGACCCCCATACCTTTTGACGTCGATCGGGGAATCGAACCCCGGTCGCCTGGGTGAAAGGCAAGTGCGCTATCCACTGCGCAGAATTATCAGCTTTTAGTTGTGTCTCTTCCAAGTTTTTGTATCTTCAAATAAGATATGTTTAAGTCATGTGTGTGTACTTTATGTCGTCTTGATAGGAAATGTATACATGTTGTTTAAATCGTCAACCTTGTTATAAATGTTATACCCCAGTTTGTAGTAAAATTATCTCTATACATACAACAAAAGTAAGTTCCTTGAATCTTCCCAATGGGTTTATATTTATATATAAAACAAATCTTGCAAGCCAAGCAGAACGGTTGATGTTTATTTTATTCCGAAAAGTCCATGTTCAGATTTGTGACTTCTCGGTATGTTAAATGATCAAGTACAAGTCTGTTTTAATTGATAAAACTGCTCAGTGTTATTAACGTGAAAGAAGTAGCGGATTTGACAAAATATATGAAAACTGATCATTTTCGTGAGTAGTTTCACTGATCAGAGATGAGACTGACCGGAAATAGAAGTGACAACCTACTACAGAAATATATGTTAAGCCCAGGGATCTATAGAATACCCAACATGTATGTGCCCAGGGATATATATAATACTAACTTACGTAAGCCCAAAAATTTACAGAATACTGAAATATGTAACACTAAGGATTTATAAAATACTAAATATGTAAGCCCACATCCTCGATCTCCAGAGGTTACGCTCACTTTCGCTCTTTGCACAAAAGAGCGAAAGTGAGCGTAACTCATGGATATCGAGGACGGTAAGCCCAGTGATGTATAGAATATAAACCTATGTAAGCCCAGGAATATATAATTATATGATATGAACCTATGTAATCCCAGGAATTTATAATTATAGAACACTAAAATACTCGCCGTCGGTAAGTTGTATCTCCTGATTATCGATTTAACTCTAAAACTAATTATCTAGTTTTGAAATAAATTTAAACAAAAGAGATTCATTTTCAAATTCAATACAGATAGATCATCCGAGTCCAAAAAAATAATTTTGTTTGGTGAAACATGGAAAGAGTGTTCACTTACTGGTATTTAATTATCACCTGGGACGACAAGATGTTGACAGAGTCCGTCAAAGTCAGCGATGATTAAAGTGTCAACCTGCTACAGGAAACAGACGTCTCTTGGGAAATGGTCACCAATCTAGACTAAAAAATGGCGCCAACTATGTGTACAAATTTCTTCAAATTACCGCGACCTTCGCAGCATCATAATTCGGTATTAATAAAACTCCCCCTCGTAAATCCTCGTGAATCATCGCTTACTCTTATTTACGGCTTCGGGAATTGTTCCTGATTTGGTAACCATTGGCATATCTGTCTCTCGTAGAAATCGAGCCGGGATTGAAATATAACAATATGCCTTCGACCTCCATTATTTACCTAAAGCTGTTGTTCATTTGTTTAAAACGTTAGGTATACGGACGATACGCTAGTCATTATTTCCCGAAGGTACGAGATATTAAACATATTCGGAACCGGAACCTCTCGGAATTAATTTGAACGAACACAGACAGTTCGTGTTAGACCTAGACATGATGCCTCGAGCGTCATACTGACCAAGGTGAACACTCACGCGGTTTCAGGCACGCAAACCTACAAAAGGTCCGAGGTTTATTTATGGCGGCTAGTACTTATCTTTGTTGGTATCCGTCGAATTAGCTGTAAACAGTACCGTGTAATTACGTGCGCGTGGTGTCCTGATCCAGTACCGTTAGTCATCGTGTGACACACACATGAACAGTACAAGACGCATTTGTCCAGACGATGCCAGAAGCCATCGCAATGGCGTGTCGACTTCTCGCGAGATTTGAGTGTATTGTTTGATGTTACGTGATTTCAACCATAACAAGTAAACCTATTTACACGCTGGGACTAATTTAGTAACAGTCCTGGTAGCGGTTTTACCTTTGTTCGACGTCCGAGGGTAGACACAAACGTAGGTCGTAAAACCACGTAATTCACGGTCTCAATATAATTGAGACCAAACGGCTTTTATCTATAAAATACTCGTAAATGCATTGTTTCACGGGTTTATTCCGGTAAGTTATTCTGTTTCAGTGCCATTTATGTAAGCCTTGTGGTCTGTATGCCTGGTACGGAAAACAATAACCGAGGACTGACCGAGTTAAGGAGAAAGAA